ATATATTTCATCTCTCAGGACACTCCTATGAGGTAGGTGCTAATATTGTCACCATGACACAGATAGGTAAGCTGAAGCAGAGAGTGGTCAGCAGCCTGTCTAAGGTCACACAGCTAGTAAGTGGCAGAGCTGGGGTTCCAGCTCTGATTCCAGGGTCTGGATTTTATGCTATCTTCTGTGTAGTACAGAGTAGAGAAAAGCTGACATTCAGAGCTGTGTCAGGGCTGGGGATTAACCAGCCTGGATAGTGTGCTCGAAATACTATGGCCAGTCCAGGCCCCACCAGCTGCTGGGCGGATGCGGCTAGAACCACCTAGGCCTGAGGCCACAGGTGAAAGACAACAGTGCCTGGGACAGAAAGATCTAGGAAAGACACAAGCTGATAGCCTCATTTCTCGCTTTATTTTAACTTTGTACAAAACAGCTGCCCTTTACAGATACATAATTTGATCGACCGATTGAAACCAGAGTTCAAAATCCCAAGGATAGTGCGGAAATTTCTTTAAAGGAGGAGCTCAAGGATGACCATTGTTTGAAGAGGAGGAGGGCTAGGGAGTTTTTCTTGAAGCTATTTCGTACAGTCCGTTCTGGCTGTATTTCAAAGACTATGTTTGTTTGCGGTATCTTGAAGGCCAATGGAGATTAGGAGGGATTGAAGTTCCTTCCTCAAGCCATTTCCTGGTCTGCCTCTGGGGCGGGCTATAGGTAGCTGTGACTAACGTTCGCAACTTCAGCTGCATCCCTGTGCATGCACTGTGATGGCGCACTTGCGGCCTCAGAAATGTGGAACAGTCAGGTGGTCTTAGAGCCCCAGGGGCCTCTTCTGAGATAGCGGGGCATGTACCTGAAATGTACCTGGCTGGAGAGGTGAACGAGAGGAGCTCGAGAATCTGCACTCTGGGCTGGGAGTGTGCTTAGTGATCAAGAGTGGATAAAATTCCATTAGAGGTAAATGCTGTCTGACAGCAGGCTGGAAAGATATATTTTAAGCTGAGAAATTACTTAATAAATTCAGACCAACACTCTGTGACATTTCCCACAAGACTTTAATGCTGTTTACAAATTCCAGAGAACACCCTGAGTCGTTTCTGGCATGGGCTTATGATTTATTTCAAAGGAAAATGGGACAGAGTGTGTGGGTTTGTGTTTAATGTGAAAAGGGATTTGGAGATGAGAAGTCAACTGGCATGAAAGATTGCAGGGCAAATGCAAAGTAGCGGAGTATGTGGGTGGCCTTGGAGCATGTAACAGGGTATTGAGAAAGGAAGGGGCCTCTTGCCATTCCAGTGCTAATCACACAGTTTCATTTGCACAGGCCAGTAATGCATTAGAGAGGATGGGTTGGATGCTAGGTCCAGGGTTTCGGAAGCACTTCAGTTTCAAAGACTTGCATGTCAAGAATAGGCAGGGCTTCCGCCCTAAGGAGGGAGACCAGTTCTAGCTTATTCTCTACAAACGTCAGCATTTAGAGGACATGACCAGCATCCCCAACAAGGAAGACTTCAGTCAGAACAAAGGAAGGCATTTCTAGGGAAAAGAGGACCTTGGACTAAGAATGTGAAGGAAGATCTGGGAGCAGATTTTCCATGTCTGACACTCTGTGTTTTTTGGGAACAAGGATGGATTAAGTGACCTTGTGATCTGTTTGATCTCTGTGTAGTATGGAGGCCACGCAGAGGTCAGGGAAGAAGACGTATTCCCAGTTGGCTGCTGGAGTGGTCCAAGGGGTAGTGGGTTCAAGGACTGGGTGACGCGGAGGCAGCGATGTGGGGCCAGGCCGGCACGGAGAAGACAAAGCGAAGAAGGATCTTATTTCTCCCTTTTTCTCGCCTTCTCCCTGGGAAGCTCCCAGTCTCATTCATCTTGCTTGCCATGGAGTATGTGGTTTGAATGGGAAACGAGGACAGTGACAACCCCCATCTCTCTTGGAAAAAAAAAATGACATTCCATTTGGTTTTGGAAAATACACAATATTTCACTTATAAAATATTCAATCACTGTCATTAATCCTCCCGCCTGGACTGGCCCTGCCCCACTGAGGCATGAGCAGCAGACTCTGGCTGTGGCCACAGGCCCAGGGACCTCTCTGCCTTCTCTCGGGTGGACAACGTCACTTGAGGCGTGAGGGTTCTCCGCTCGTAGAGTCGCCCTCTCCAGGGCAGGGGTCCGGGTCTGCCTAGGACCCTCAGAGCGATCTCTAACTGAAAGGCAAAGGGCTCCCGCTGACCCGGGCGTCCTGTGGCTGGGCCGGGGAGTTACAGACATGCTGTCGGCCTTGACAAAGTTAATTCCTCTTAATGTAACAAAGGGCACCCATGGGCCCCGAAGACTCTATCCCACTCCCCAAAGCTCAGCCGCTCTCAGAGACTTACCTCCTCTGAGACTTACCGCAGGGTCTGTGCTCCCCACCCTGGCCCGAGGGCTCTGTGCTCCTGCCCCTCCCAACCCTGAGACACTTGCCCCTCTCACCACTCACTACCTGCCTGAGACACTGCTCAAACTTCACCAGGGCCCTAGAGTGACTTGGATGTGGCGCTCAGTGAATGTTTTCAGGAGGGACCTTCGAGCCTAAAAAAGTGGGGAGAAGGGGAGGGTATTCCCCTCCGGGGGAAAACCAGCTATCAGGTGAGGCCGGCACGTCAGTGCTGCTGGAAGGTTCCATTTCCTGCTTCGGAGACTGCGTGGGCCCGAATTGGGAGGAGTCTGTTGGTAACTGCCCCAATACCCGCTGTTGGCACCAGGCTCCTACTAAGGATGGGGACATCTCCCTCATGGCAGGCCGGACAAATACCCCTGATGACAGATACCCACCCCTTCAGGTCTTTCCAAAGGCCACCCAGGCCCAGGAGTCTTAGGGCACAGGGTTAGGGCCAGCCCAGAATCACAGAGCTGGGGAGGTCGCAGGAGCCATCAACTCCTAGCATGAGTAAAGTCATGGGCGGGAAGGCGAAGTTACTCCAAGTCCCATCGTTCGTTGGCGATGTAGCCAGAGCATGAGCGGTGGCTCTTGTTTT